CCAGCCTTGCTGGCTGGGGAATTCTGGGAGTTGAAGTCCGTCCACCTTCAAGTGGCCAAGGTGGAGAAGCGCTGTCCTAAAGATTGTTTGGAAAAGTGCCAGAAGAACACAAAGATGTCTCGAAGATGGAGATTTCGCTGCCTAAGGCCATCGCTCCCAAGCTAGTCTTCAGAGGCAGAGTGAAAACTCTTCTCGGAGGACGAGTCAAAGTCCACAGACGCTCCAGATGTTCCAGAGTCCGTGAAAAAGGAAGCAACGGAACCACGGGTTTCAGAGCTGCCAACTGCGCCTTCCTCCTTCGCCAAGTCTTCGCGGCAGGGGGGATCCCAGAGCCATCCTTCAAGACCGGGGAAAGAGTAGGAGGCTTTAGGAGGCCTGTAGGGAGGATGAGGGCAGGCCTCCCCTGGGGCCGTCTGGCATTTTCTAAGCAACGTTTCACTGACTTTGCTGCAACACAACAAACCGTCATTAGCAACTTTTCCGTGAAAGGCGGGGTGCAGCCTTCCCCACCCCTCTTCGTCCAACCAAGTCTTGATAACCCAATACCTATTTTTAAATTTATTTCTTGGCACTGCATCCGTCTTTAAGTAGACAACCCCTCAAGGAATATGTCAACAATTCTGGTTTGGATTCAATGGCAACTTTGTATATATTGATCCCTGCCCATCATTTTAAAAACATCCTGCACGCTTCCTCTAGGCAGCTTACACATACTTATATACAATAAAGTCATCGTTGAGTTGAGCTCCATTCTGGGTGACTCCAAGCACCTACCCACGTGGTTCTCTTGGGTCCAGTGGGAAACGGTGTGTCACTGCCTCCTTCTCAAGCACTGACTTGACTCACAGTCTAGCCTACAGGTAGTCCTTGACTTACAACCATTTGTTCAGCGACCATTCAAAGCTACGAACATGCTGAAAAGTGACTTACAACCGCTCCCCAAAGTTATGGCCACTGCAGCGCCCCGCGGTCATGTGATCAAAATTCAGGCACTTGGCAGCCAACCAGCGCTTATGACCGTCAGGGCACTTCAGCTCCCCCACTTGCCTATCTCTCCATCTATGCCCTTTGGACCCCCTACCACCCTGCACTCCGCCTCCCCAGCTGCCCTTCGCTGTCTTCTTGCTCCTGCTGCTGACAAGGCCTGCCCAGCCTGGCTGCTGGGCTGGGCTTTTCCTTCGCACTGCAAAAAAAAAAAAACCAAAAGTAGCCCCAGAGCCGCAGTGCACCAAAAGGCCCCTTTGCAAAAAGCTCCTGGGCAGGGCGGGGAGGTTTGGAGCTGGGAGGGACCAAGCCTGGAATGCTTGGAATGGGGTGTATACTCGGTTAATGATGGCAACCAGGACTGCCAGGATTGCGGTCACTAGGAGATGCGGTTACGTGACATCTCGCTTTATGACTGCATCGCTTAGAGATGGAAATTCCAGTCCCAATTGTGGTCGTAAGTCGAGGACTACCTGTACTGTCCTAAGATTAATGGGTGGGTCTCCCATTCCAGGACTTAACCAGGCCCAATGCTGCTTTGATTCCAAGATCAGCCAAGGTTCGCTAGGTGCTATTTTCTGCATTGAAAAAAATAATTAAAACCCAGCTAAAACAAACCTCTGAACTGTACAGCTGTAATGGTTAATGGTTAATGGCTGTAATAGAGTTAAGCAGAACTCTACTTGCTCCTGCCTCACACCAAAATCACCAGCAGGCCCCACGGCTGCCCCCCTGAAAAGCCTGTGGCTGGAACATCCAGGCTGGTGGCAGGAGCACAGCTGCCTCCGTGAAGCAGCACGCTTGAGAAACCGCTCTTGAGCTAAGCCACTGTTGCACTGTAAGCCTTGAAACATGTTCACTGCTTCTCTGTCTTTTATACAAGTTATATCTTTATGAGTTGATACCCTTTTCTACAGGGAGAGAATGGGAACACAGGAAAAAAAGAAACTAACTTTTCACTGTAAATAACTTGTGCAGGTTTAAATTTTCCTTAAGTCTGATTTTTTAAAGCCATCCAAGTTTTGCCACCTGAGGAAGGAGAACAAGGAATTTTGGGAAGGACCAAGATTATTCTTTTTTGGAATAGCCATTTTTTTTTTTTTTGGCCTTCCATTAGTGCTGGGCTAAAATTGAAATGTAATAGGCATGCAGTGGGGAAATTTTCCAGAAATTCAAAACGTTTCCCTTATTTTTAATAGTTAGCAAACAAACCTCTTGCAGACAGTACTTTATAACCTCTTCAGTTACTAACTACCACATTACTGTTGAAATTGTTAGGAACAGGAAAAAAATGCAAGCACAGAAAGTCTGCTTTTCATGCAACACGTTAACTATAAAGCTCTCCTAACATTCCAGCTAGCTATCAGTCAAGGAGAAGAGGTAGGAGAAAGTGAGTGGAATTCCCCAGATCCTGCTTGCTTTTTTCAAGCTACCAAAACTTTTGGCCCTCCCCTTTGGGGGAGTGGGAGGAGCAATCCAGCTTTCAAGATTGCCTTCCTCCAGTATCCCTTAAAATTTGGATTCAAAGCTTCCTGAGACTGAATTATGCATGAAGTCAATTAAGCGCAAGCAATTTTAAAGATGCCAATAGCTCTTTGGATGGTCAGATCTCTGCATGCAAGTGAGGTTAAACTTCCCCTGTGATTTAACTCTGGATGTGTGCCTTGTGCACACAATAAAGTGGTGGGGCTTCGATCACACCCTTGCAGC